GAAATGGGGAAGAAGTGTTAAGAGCTAACTCAAAAGCTGCTGAGTGACCAATACAACTGTAAGTCAAAAAGCTAAGCGAGAAATAAAGCTAGCTAAATTAGGAAAAAGAAATTTTACTGTCATGTTTCACTCCTTCCTTCCTGACAGAACATTAACTTAAAAACAAAACACGAACAGTAAAGTTAAAGAAAATATTTCTTAAAAAGGAGACTACCCTTTTCCAAATACCTGAAGATGCTCAAGAGCCATTAGCATACAATGAAATCCAAACCTCTCAGACAGCTTGGAAAATCTCAGCTGGCTCTTCCATTTACTTCATATAACACAAATGTGAAACATCTTAATTCTTTCATTGTAAAGTGTTCTGAAATATTACACAGTTACAATAACGGCAATAATAGAACATACGATTGACAAATTACTGAAATACGAGGATCGCAATACTGTTGTCTATGTGGAATAACAAGGCTATAAATATTAGTCTCCTAGATGCTAACGTTGATTAATCAGTTTTCATTTCAGTATTTCAAATCAAACATGGAGGGTAGAAGATCTTTAAAATAATAAAAGAAGGAAAATGAGCTGAGACAAAATTTGAGCTCTGCCTATTTAGTTCTTAGTAGAATTTCTTACAGAAATTGAGTAATTTTGTATTTTTATTTAAATTTTTTCAATGAGGAAAATTTTAAAAAACAAACTAATTACAATGAATTACAATCATTAGTAATTGTAATAATTTTATATTAGTAGGAGTTGTGACCCTGTAGGGTAAACCGCATTTTGACAATATGAAATAGTATTCATAATTTTAAAAAAAATCATGACTTGCAGACATGCAGAGTCAACAGAAGTGCAATAATTTCTACTACAAGGACCACTGGCAATCTCTCTTACGGAACTGTGCTTTACACATTGCCCAGTGGGAGGCAGAACGGCAAAGACTGTTTTCTTATGTATTTAACATAATTAAAAACAAACAGGTGTTTGTTAGGATTTCATGATTCAAGAAGCACCACTGCAAAATAAGATTTTTCAAAAGGATTGACTCCTGAGAAATAATGGAAATAGACAAGCAGAGAGCTTAGTTTTGCTATACAATGTCTATCTAGGAATTTAATATCAGTGAAAATACAGTAATACGTAAACACTAACCACAGAAATGAATTTCCTAGGGTGGAACACAGTCATATAATAGGAGTAACAGGATAAACTTAAGAAAGGCAAATTACAGAAAATATCCCCTGCCCGCACCCTGAAAAGCTCCCTAACGGTGAGATGAATCCAATGTTTGGATAATTTTCTAGAGAGAGATGCAACTGTTTGGGGCATTAAAGATAAAATGGAATAATAAACTAAAAATCTACTGTAGGGAACAATCCTCTATTGATTTACACAATAAGTACTTCCTATCTTACTACAAGGATAAAAAAAAAAAATCCTGCTTGGGAAAAGTGGCAGAGTACAAAATATTCTTGGAGTAGGTGGAAGCAATTTCATTGATAATTTCAGTTCCAATTTAAAATCCCTCATATAGTTCGTTACTTTACTCCACACTCCTGATTTGGAAGTATCTCATATTTACACTGTAAAAGTGACCGCTGCAGGCATAATGTTGTTCGCAGACTTGAAAGAGTTGCATGACTGTAGAGCTGATCACTTTGGAACTCCTTGGTACTCATTCCTGGCTGTAATTAGTAAAAGAAATTGATTCAACAGTCTAAAGGTGTCTTAGAAGAGCAGAATTGCATTCTACAGTGAATATAATCTTCATAAAGAACATATTAGATATTGTTGCTGAACCAGATAATGGAAAATGTTTTCTTTATAGAGAACCGCATGCAGTTCTCACCCGAATGTAAAGTTCTCTCTCACCCTAATGCAGTAAGCAGCAGTGAAAAGGGTTTTCTATTCTGCAACAAGCAGAGGATGTTCTTATTGATTGGTTATCAGATATTTTTGTTTCCAGGGTTCATTTCAACAGTCACTACATGGAACACGGTGATTTTCTCATCTTTGGACACTTTAGCTGTCTCATCTTTATAATACACCTATATAATAATCACAGTTATTACTATTTCATTCAGATACTTCTTCATCAGACTGGATTTCAGAAGTAGTATCAGTGCTACCATCAATATGGTCTGTAACTCCAAAGTTCTGTACAGAAAAATGGCAGCATGCATGGTTTCAGCTTGTCTTTTGCTACTTTTATTACGCCAGCTTCTTATAATGCAAAATACTCCCATTTGCACACAGTCTCTTTTCTTCTGCAAAAGAAGAGTTCATATCCATTTTCTTCCTGCTGCAATCAAATGGTGGCAAGCTATAAGACTTGTTGGTTATTAATTCCAAATTATGAGCAGAAGGGAAAAAGAAATACCACTTACTTAGAATTAATCTTCTACACAAAATGCAGAGTGCACAACAGTACTGGATTCCAAAAAATCTCACCGTTACTGTAGAACTTCAGACCATTAATGTAGAACAGTGCAATAGTACATTTTCTGTCTTTTTTTGTAATGCAAAGCACTTTGAGATGCAAATAAAAATACTGAATTACCTGTTAGCATTACTTACACATGCTTATAAATGTCACATTTAGCTTAACAAGAGCCATTGGCAAAGTTTACAGTTTTAGGGGGCTTCATTCACATTAAGGTGCTTTTGTCACAACACAAAAAGTAGAGCTGTAACACTAGCTTACTTGTGGATGTGTATACTAGTGAACTGGGGGCACTGTACACGGGAGATCCCTCCTGGTTTGCCTGGCACAGCAGCACCCTGCCTACAAGAAAGAGAGAGAGAGTGGTATCTGGTTTTGGAACTGCACCTGCATTTTCATCTCAAAACAGAAATACAGCCATGACTGGAGCAGTGCAGTGCAGCAGGGGCACTTTTTGTCCTTTGACTTCCAAACAGAAAGAGCCCCCATGAACACGCACGGTTTCACATGTGAAAAAGCCAAACAGTGACATCCCCCCAACACAAGCCCCCCCCGGCCCAGGCGGGGACCCCGAGGGCCCCCGGCGCGCCGGCCCGCCC